CCAGCAAAACCAAAACAACAATGTATTATCACTTCTGAATTCAAAACACTGCACTACACTAGCTACTGAGAAAATTAACCCCATCCTGGCTAAATCCAGGACAGACTGTAATGATGAGTGGGTTCTAGTCAGGTGGGGGTTGGTCTCTTCTCCCAGACAACCAGCAGGAGGATATGAGGGCACAGAACCAAGCTCTGCCAGGGGAGCTTTAGGTTACATATTAGGAAGAGATTTTTTACAGAGAGAGTGATCAGGCATTGGAATGGGCTGCCCAGGGAGGCGTTGGATTCACCGTCCCTGCAGGTTTCAAAGATGAGACTGGATGTGGCACTTAGTGCCATGGTCCAGTAACCACAGTAGGGTTGGACTTGATAATCTTGGAGGTCTTTTCCAACCCAGTTGATGCTATGATTTTGAGCGTTGGTACATGCTGTGTATTTTTTGAGCCACTTGAAAGTTTATTTTTGACTGTTTTTCTCATAGAGTGTTATGAACAGGATGCATGTCATCAGTATTCCTTATGCATTAATGAAGGTTAATCCACTTTCCTGGATACAGAAAGTCTGCTTATACAAAGGTAACCCAAGAGTATTTTTACTTCACTCATCTCTCTTTGGAGATTTACAAACCAGTGAAGTTGTTTGTATGAAATATCTGCATACACCACTGAGTGCTGCAGTTCAATGTCCTGTGGTGAGTGACATTGATGGCTTCTTCTTGAAGGAGCTTTACAGAAACTGTGGTTCTCAGTATTTGAATTTTAAATTCTATAACCAAGTCCATCTGGAGACACTGAGTGTACTTATGTCATAGGAGCTGAATATTTGGCTTTTGTACTTGTTTTCTGTGTTTAATGGGTTTCATAATTTCATATAAATGCACAAAAATTCTTACAGAATTTTATAACTGGACTTTGTTTTGTTCTGCACACACAGCATAATTACTTTCTTGATTTCCAGCCCATGTAGCAGTAGTGAAATCGCGTGATATGCACTGGTCACTTTTGGCTCAGAGGGATCAGAGGGATGTCAGCCTGAGCTCATTACGGATGTTAATAGTGGCAGATGGTGCCAATCCATGTGAGTATGGATGCATTTCTTGATTGTCAGTCTTGCCAGGAGTCTCTTTGCTGTATGCCCTGGGTCAGAGCTTGGGAAGTTAGGCAGTTTGTTCTGTAGTGAAATGCTATTTGCGTGGCAGTGATGCCACCGCGTTTTCATTGCTGGTTGCACTTCTTGGCTATATTTCCCTGTGTGCGTTCTGTTTTGAACTTCATGTTTTCATTAGCACTGTACTGTTATGTGAACTGACACGAATTGGTACCTAGGAGGTACATATAATCCATTCTGGGCTGAGTACTAAAGGCCAGGTAGGATTGTGGATTGTCAGTCAATTGATGTTTGTTATTAAATGCTGTGACCTCTGTGAGAAACAATCAGGAGCTATGCAAGAAGCTGACATACATTTACCCTTAGTGGCAAAGTGTTCTGATCACTGAAGGACTTTCCATGGTGGTGAGTGATAATGAGTTGGGAATTTCATTCGGTGAACTTGTTAGTCACTGGGAGTTCTCTTCCCAAATCTACCATCTAATAATAGGCTGAGATGTCTTTCAGACAATTTGAAAATCAATGATTTTGTGCACAGATGTGATAATATTCGTCTAGCTGAGCTCAGAATGGACATAGACTTTGAATTCCTGCAGCTCAAGCTTTCCTGCCCTTAGCAAAATGTTTCTAATCATGTCGTTGTTCTTTTTAGGGTCAATATCCTCCTGTGATGCCTTCCTGAATGTGTTTCAGTCCAGAGGTTTGAGACCAGAAGTAATCTGTCCCTGTGCTAGTTCCTCAGAGGCACTAACCGTTGCTATTCGCAGGTAATTCCCTTTCCTGAGCAGTGTACTTGAAGCTTTTCTTCACTACTGAGGTGTATCACAGAATGGTTTAGGTTGGAAGGAACCCTAAAGCTCACCTCGTTCCACCCCCTGCCATGGGCAGGGACACCTTCCACTAGTTGCTCCAAGCCCCATCCAACCTGGCCTGGAACACTTGCACGGATTGGGAATCTCATGTTAAGATGGTAGTCAGAAAAGAACATGACCCACATAAAGATGCCCAAAGACCTAGGCAGAGGAAATATGAAGCTCACAGGTTTCTCCTTCTCTGGGATGGGTGATTTTGTGTGTTTTCTATAAAAAGTTCAAGATTTTCTAAAGGTAGTCAGGCATAAGCTGTTTTTTCATGGTTTGAGAAAGTGAGGTCTCATCCAAACTGATGTTGCTGGAGAACCTTTTAAAACGCCCCCAAAACAGGAGTTACTGATTTGGGAGGAAGGAAATGCTGAGTCTTCAATTAAATGCTTGTCTGCAATGTCTTGTGAACAGGGTAAAGTGAATAAAATTCATAAGTGGTCTGAAAATGCCATTGGATGTGTGGAGATAGCAAGGGATGCTCTGAAAGAAAGAAAATTGCTGTATTAGTAGACAAAATGGTTGGAATATGCTGGAATTTTTTTATAATGGTTCCAGTCAAAATGTGCTTTTTTAGAAAATCAATTCCAAGAAAACTTGTGACAAAAAAGTTTGGGATTTTGGAGAGTTTGGTTCTAGCTCTTTTTTTGTCTAGTTACAATAGATTACCGGTCTTGAACTCTTGTTTGTTTAAAGTGAGACACTATTATTTCTCTTAACCATACCAAGCATGAGGAACTGGCACAGTGTTTTTGGTGACCATATCAGTTTTGTTCTGTTGGTTCATGTCTGACTGGACTTTGTTTTCCAGACCTCCTGAACTGGGTGGCCCCCCTCCAGGAAAAGCTGTGTTATCCATGAACTGTCTGAGTTTCGGCGTGATCAGAGTGGATACAGAGGAGAAGTTGTCAGTGTTAACTGTGCAGGATGTTGGTCAGATTATGCCTGGAGGTAGGAAAGCATTTCATGAAAGCGTATTCCACAGAAGTTATCTTTATTGTTCTCCTTGTGCTGATGGAACCAATAAAAATTTACATCCCTTTAAGGCAGCATGACTTAGATTGTGACACATTACCCGAATATGTGATGATTAAGTGCTGTCTCAACTGGGTTATTCAACTTTTCACTGGAGGTGTCAAATAAATCTGAATGGCCATGGGTTTTGTTATGGGCAGGTGCTTTTGGCTGATCTGCAGAGCTGTTTCATCACTCACTGGTTGGTAGAGTGCTGACTGATGTACACCTGTGTAATAACATACAGAAGAACAAACCAAAACAAAGCATAGTAAGAAATAACAGCTTTTATTCAGGCCTGATAGTCTCTGAAATGGAATGGAATAGAATAAAATATTTCTGTTGGAAGGGACCTCGTCTCAAACCCTGCAAAGGTGATGGAACAACTAATTCTGGAAACCATTTTCTTATGCACATGGTGGATGAGAAAGGGATCAGTAGTCAGCATGGATTCACCAAAAAGAAGTCATGCTTGACCAACCTGGTCACCTCCTACAATGAAGTGACTGGCTTGGTAGGTGAGGGGAGAGCAGTGGATATTGTTGACGTTTGAAGAAGCTTGTAGAGAAGACTGACTGAGTCAGGCTCTTTCTGTGTCCCATGACAGAAGAAGAGCCATCAGACACAAGCTGAAGCACATGAGCATCCCTCTGAACAGAAGGAAGAACCTTTTCACCAATAGTGTGTCTGAGCCCCGAAATGGGTGTCCCAGAGAGGTTTTGGAGTCCCCATCCTTGGAGATAGTGAAGAGCCTTCTGGATACGGTCCTGGGCAGCTGGCTCTAGGTAGCCCGGCTTGAGCTGAGGAATTGGACCAGATGATCTCCAGAGATCCATTCCAAAACAAACCATCCTCAAAGTGGCAGACTTTGGATATCCCAGCAAACTGCTCAGTCCTGGATTAATCTGTTTCCTAATGACATCTCTCTGCAACACTGTGCTTCCTGAAATAGGTGGTGGGCTGGGTATCATTCCCCAGCCCAGTAAGTGAATCAAAGCAAACAGACTTGGCCTCTTTGGTTGCTGTCATTTGGGACTAGTCATGCATCATTTGAGGAGAGCACTTAGAAGAGACCAACAAAGGTGGGGTGCCAAACCAGACCTAAGGCTGTGGACAGTGAGGTGAAAGACTCAATACTCAGTGCAGTCTACTGCAGCATTTAGGTTGGCAGCATAACGTTCCACGGCACTGTCTGTCTCAGGGTACCACTAGCTTCAGGCCCTGTCCTGACCTGCTCTGGTGTACTTGGAGAGGATGAAATACAGATTTGATTTAGAATTCTCTTCACCCCTCAGGTTTACTAAGTAACTACCAAAGAACCTCATTGGTTCTGGTCATACTCTTGGCACCTTTGGCTTTGCTAATCTTGGTCTGCTTATGAACATGACACCTTGTTGAGCTGTGGTTCCAAAGCCCAACTCTCTGCAGAGCGTTTACTCGAGGTAAAGATGAAGTGGAAAGCCAATTTTTGCAATTTCAGCACAACCTCTTTGTACACCAAAGCCCCTGATAGGAGTAAGAGGAGACAGACAGCTTCCCACTCTGCTGGTGAAAATTTCAGCCATCATGTAGCGAGTGGCACTGATCTTGTTTAATTTTCCTCGTTAGTCCCAGAAGCACTTTACATCCTCTAAGGTTGGTGGTTCGGTTATCGTTACTGAATTGAAATTCACATTCACAGCTTCCTCCTGCTACCAAAAAAAGACTAAGCAGAAGCTCTGCACTTCACACAAACTGAAGAACCCCTTGGAAGTCAGGGTAAATGCAGCCATGGAGGGTAATGGCTGGGTGTTTTTGGGCGGCCTCGGTGTGCAGGAAAAGAAGAACGTGGTGACCCAGTCTTACTTATTGGCTTCTGAATTGCTTCACCTGAACGTTCAAATTCAGGGTATGAAACTTGTCTGCAGAGACCCAGAAGACACTCAACAAGCTGACTACACATACAGAGGAATATTGTGTCACCAGAGAAGTTGCTCAGTTGTTGTGTGTCTTCTCTCAAGTTTTTGTTTTGTGCTAAAGACCATCTGAAGCTGTTTTGAAAGTGCATAATAAAATTCCAAGAAAGGCAGTAACTTCAGCTTCACAGTTGGACTTGATGGTCTAAAAGATCTTTTCCATCCAAAATGATTCTCTAATTCTATGACTTGCATCTGTGCCTCCACAGAATGGGTGATTTTCTTCTTCAGCTGGAATACAGATGGCATGGACTGCTACTGCTGGTTTGGGTGTCCACACAGCTGCTGTCCCCTTGGAACCTCATTGAAATTCAGCTGTGCTCCTGGTCTCCTTAGCTTATGGGTTAGTCACATGGACATGGAGGGAACAGGTTTGAAAGCCCTTCAGGTAGTCATGAATCCTTCGGTGAACTGAGCGAGGTTAAACTCAGTGTTGGTCCAGTTTTTGTCCAAAAAGTGGTATTTGATGCAGGATTGACTGAAATGTTTCTTTGGATCAGTTTATCCATCGGAGGTGCTCCTGGCTTTGCTGTAGGTTTACTCTCTTGGAAAAGTGTGCTTGACTACACTAAGCCTACAGCTGTGGTGCACCTTGAGCTGTTCTTCATACTCAGCTGGTAGAACTGTAAGTCCCCTTGGTTAGTCTTCCATAGAGCCTCTGTTCTGTGGCAGGCTCAAGGCTGCCTTAGGATTTTGGAAGAGTTGCCTGTATTCTTGTGGGTAAGTAATTCCACCTCACTATGAGTCACTAATGAAAAACATGTCCCTGTCCTTGTGAAATCCCCAACTGAGCAGCAAGAGGGATCTGTGCCTAAATCCTTTTCCATTGTCAAATTCCTGGGAGCATTGTCTGGCAAATTTCATGGGCCCTTCTGGATTAGGTGCCATTGACAGGGAGTGACAACATGACTATGACATGAAGCGTCAAGTGACTTGTCTGATTGTGAGGGGAGCACAGTTATGTGTGTATCATTAGGTGCCTTGAAGTGGTGTGACTTGTAATTGGTGGCTGGTGTTATTTTAGTAAGTGGCAAAACTGCATGTAGGTTAAGCAGAATTTGGGCAACGTAGTGAATTAACTCCTTTAAAACTGTGATTAGCATTGAGCTGTCAGATTCTGGGACAGATGCACTTTGATTTGTCCACATGGTAAAGATTCCAGCAGAAATTTCTCTGTTCTTAAGTCAGAACATACGTGGTCAAGTTCATTCTGGGGCATAACTGATGACTTTGTTCCCTGTGATTGTCTCTTTCAAAAATCTCCCAGAGTAGGAAGCAAGTCAAAAGATTAGCAGTTATTATAGGTGTGTGCCAAGTGAAAAGAAATGAATGACTTAAGGAAATGAATGATTTATTTTCAGATGAGTCTGCGTGTACATTCTAACAGGCACTTGTGCCTTGCCTGGTAAGATTTGTGCTTTTACCTGTATAGTTTTCATGGAGGATGTGCCCTGTCCATTCTGGCTTGGTGTTTGGCATACAGGAGAGAACATACCACCACCTGTCTCCCCTCTGCTGACTGATGAGTCTGGCTTTTGATCTGCTCTTGGGTTTGTATTTTTACCTTAGATTGCTGTGCTTCCACCAAAGGCCTGGTTTGAGTTGGATGCCATCTCTGAAGGCTTTGTTCCATTTTCTGATCCTCACTGAATACATTTTAGTACTTGGAAGTGCTTATGTGTCCTAGTCTTTCTAATATTCCATGACATAGGAGCTCACATTCCTGAGTTTCGTTTGGAAATGGTCAACACAAATGGTTTTGACCTCATTACCTGTGAAAATCCCTGATGTGCTTTATTCTGGAACCACCTGGTTAAAAGTTCATGGATAAAGTGTGTTCCCCCGCTGTTTTCTTCAGCTCTTGCTATTTGTTCTGAGTCCACCTGCTGTGGGGGTCTTATTCAACATGCCCCTCAGCATCGGGGGCATGTCCTGTGTCACTGATGTTTAACCCATAGGCTGTTCTTGATGCCACATTCCCTTCACATTCGTTATCTACCAGGAGTGCCGAGCACAAGACCCACAAGGGAACTGTAGGTATCCATGGGGAAATCTTCTCGTCAGAGATAGCATGGGAATTCTGAAAAGAAACCCTAGCATTTCCCTGGAATCCTGTCCTGGAGGGATGACATTTTGCCTCACCTGTTGACCACCATGGTTTCTGTCTGGGACTGACATTGCTAAGTTTCGGTCCCAACAATCTTCAGTTCATGTTTTCAAATTGGACTGGCGAAGATGGTAGGTGCCAAACCTCTTTTCTTCTGCCTGTTCTGTCTCTCCAATTTTCACATCAGCTGGAATGTGATTGCTATGTTACCTGTCGTCTTGAAAGCATATTATACCTTATGCTTGTACCTGGATGGGAACACTCGGGTACTCAGTTAAGTTTGTCTCCCTGCTACTTCCCAGCTAATTGTTTCCAGCCTTTTACAGGGATCCTTTTCATGGTCTTTCCTTGACAGGAGCATAACACTCTTCAATGCAAAAGTTCTATATCCCTATAGCTCCTAGTAATACAAAGCCTGGTTCCTAGAAACATTGCTACTGCAGCAGCTGCTTGCTTGTACTCGAGGAGAAAACTTGGAGTTGGCACCAGTTCTTGAGCTTCTGTGAGACTTTCTGCATATACATTGTCATGTTATGGATTCTGACTGTATTCGTACCTTTTCTAGAAGTTCAGGGAGTATGGTTCCAATTTCTCAAGTGTTAGGGTGCTCACTTTGTCTCCAGCCCATGGATGTCTTGGATGTCATTGCTCCCTCTAGCCATGTTTCAGCAAACACTTGCCCAGGTTCTGATCATTACCACAATGCATCTTCACTGCAGAGGAGTCTGGTTCCTTCATCTCAGTACCTGACCTGTGGAAGGAGTTGTTACAGAACAACTCAGTGAAACTTTCAGTCTTTTTCCTTGTATTGTGAGATAGCAGCACCTCTTGCCCACTCAGTCCTTAGAATTTATCGTGTTAATCAGTTCTGTGTTGCACTTGGCTTCAGTCTTTCACACAGTGGCACAACAGTCTCCCACTGCAGAATAAGCTCTCTCAGAGACCTGTGCCAGTGTGTACGCTTGGGGTGAGATGTTTTCTTCCAGGTTAAGTGTCCTCAGAATGCTTGTGTGACCACCTTTAGAGTCTAGATGCATGTTCATCCTTACCTAGGAAGTTGGCTTGCTTTGTGCCTATTGCCCTTTCCGGATGAGCCAGGGAAACTTCAGGTCCTTGCCTTGGACCATATGCTGTTCTTCTCAAAGATTAGGTTTTTCTGGAAACCCTGCAGATACCTTCCACGATCATTCTGGAGGCATTTTATCCTGGCCTTTTAGCATTTCTCCTAAGGCCTCATGCTTCTAGAAGAGAAGGTCTAGCTAAATGCTGCAGTGCAAGGGTAGCCATGGTATACAGATCCACTATGAAATGCTGGAAGTAGAACAGGAGAGCACTCTCTGACCCTCATCAGCCTTCTGCTGTGCAGGCCCCTGGCATTCTTCTTGCATTCC